CCGCCCGGGCCTCCTGGCATCAGAGCTCCTTCCACAGCACACACACGGCGAGGGAGAGGGACGCCGGGCCCAGTGTCGCCGTGGATGCGGGCGGGAGGAGGACGCACCTGACCGCGGGCCAGGTGGCTGCAGGAAGCGGGACCGTGCTGGCGGAGAGAGCCGTTTTCACCGACGCCCAGCTCAGGTGAGGCCCCTTCTCAGTCTGCAGTTCCCACGGCCCCCAGGCCGAGCTGGCACTTCTGAGGCTGCAGAGAAAGGTGTTCAGAGATAAGTGTTCCAGGAACCGCTTTGCGGGCAGCTGCGAAATTGACAGGTTAGCCTATTTACCTCGGGGACAGAGGCCAGGCTGCCTGCTCAGAAGGCAGCCTTGGAGGGAAATGTGACAATCAGTCCATCTGTTACACTTCCAAATTCGATGCTGGTTGAAGGGTTATGGCTCCCTCTCGGCTCAATGAGCGCTAACTCCAATAGACCAGGAAATGGATCATTGCATGGATATTCTTGAAATAAAGGAAGGAAAAAGGCAAAAAGGGCTGTTCCAGGTGCTGAGTGAACCTCAAATGCTATTTTGATAACTACTACCACAGAAAGACTGATGGCTAAGCAAGGCAGCTAATTTTTAGATGTCTCCTTCCTTCTATACCCAATACGTTTTTGTTTTAAAGAATGTTTTAATTTAAAAAAAATTGATTGATTGATTTTAGTGAGAGAGAAAGGGAAACATTGATTTGCTGTTCCACTTATTGATGCATTCATTGATTGGTTCTTGTATGTGCCCTGACCAGGGAACGAACCCACAACCTTGGCATTAGGTGCTCTAACCAACTGAGCTACCCAGCAAGGGATACTTCTTTATTCAGTGATTTGGAGGGTATTTTTTGGCAATACCAATTAATTTTAAAAATTGAATTTTCAAAGTTATTCCTTTGCCTGTCTTACTTTGGCTTGACTAATCTTACTTTGGAACTAAATCCTATTCAAATTTAATGCTGGGGCACAAATTTTATAAACTGAGGAAAAAGTTACATAGAGAAAGGTTTAAGAAATGGATGCATGATTAAGTTATTAGGTCCTGAAATAATGATGTATCATTATGGTAAAACATTAAATATATGATTTTTGTTTGATTTTTAATGTTGCTTAGTGGAAGTTGTCACCTTTAATTATCACTTTAAGTGACGTTGTACAGTAAAATCATTGACTATGCAGGTACTCCTGATAGTAGATGATAGGGCTAGTCTAAACTCAAAGCAGGAAATATTTTTTATAACCTTTCCATAATCCCACCAAGTTTTCCTGCCTTTCAGCATGGCACATAAGGCCCATGTTTTCCCCTGCTTATCACTCCAGTCTCATCTTTCTTATCTTCACCCTTTGTCACCACCCTCCCCACACCACCCCCACATAACACTCAAACCACTTGGAACCTCTTTTATTTCCCTTAATGGAAGATATTCAAGCATATATTTCCTTTTTCCATCTAGCTACCTAGCTACCTAGCTACTTACCTACCTGTCATCCCTTTCCCCCCAGTAGCTCTGATTTCGCCTGGCTTAGCTCAGATACACCTTTTCCCTGACCACTCCCCTCTCCGTCTAGTCTAGGTGCCCCAGTTAGCTGCACTGTGTGACTGTCTCTACCAGAATAATATATTATGGTTATCCATTTACTTACCTGCTCTCCCTCTAGACTTTGAGCTTCTTGTGAGTGTGTCTTATCTTTATATCCTCAGCACCCTAAAACAGAGGTAGGTCCATAATAGTCACTATGTAAATGAAGGGTGAGAATGAAGGAATTAAAGAAGGGAGAAATGAAATATAAACTCTTTCCATCTTTTATTACCCACATTCTGGAAGAAGTATTAACCACACTATTTCAGGTCATTGTTTTAACAAATAGGGTACATTTTATTAGAATAATTATATTTCAAAGAAGAGAAGGAACACTTGGGATTAAGAAATATAAAATAAAGGGAAAGATATCTATTGACTAGAGCAGCAGTTCTCAACCTGTGGGTCACAACCCCTTTGGAGGTCGAACGACCCTTTCACAGGGGTCGCCTAAGACCATTGGAAAACATATATATAATTACATATTGTTTTTGTGATTAATCACTATGCTTTAATTATGTTCAATTTATAACAATGAAAATACATCCTGCATTTCAGATATTTACATTACGATTCATAACAGTAGCAAAATTACAGTTATGAAGTAGCAACGAAAATAATTTTATGGTTGTGGGTCACCACAACATGAGGAACTGTGTTAAAGGATTGCAGCGTTAGGAAGGTTGAGAACCACTGGACCAGAGGCTTAGCGCACGAAATTCTGGCACGGGTATGGTCCCTAGGCCTGGCCTGTGATCAGGGCCATCTTCCCCGGCTGCCCACAGCCGGCCCCGCCCCCTGCCGTCACCCACTCCTGGTTCCCTGTTCATCATTGGGCAATCAGAGCCTGCCGGCTGGAGGGAGGGACCAAGAAGTCAGCTGTTCCTGCCCGCTCGCCAGCCCCGCCCCCACCGCAGTTCACCCTCTGTGTGTGGGCTGACCGGTGGGGTGGAGGCCTTGGCCTGGTGCTGCCCATGTCCCCTGCCACCCACCCCTGGTTCCCTGTTCGTCATCAGGTGATAGGAGCCTACCAGCTGGGGGGAGGGACCTGAGAGGTGGTCAGTGCACCTCATAGTGACTGGTTGTTCCACCATTAGGGTCAATTTGCATATTACCCTTTTATTATATAGGATGATTCCTAAAGTTGCCATTCTAGAGATCAGAAACCATAGAAAGGAACTCTCTTTGAAAATGTTGCTTTCTACGGAAAAGCAGAGATATTGCCTATAATGAGGCAAATAGGTGATCAAGGTGCTGTGTATGCCTGACTCTCTTCCCTGCTTTGGTGTGCCCCTGGCTCATGTCAGTGTCTCAGGCTGTCCCCTGCGAGTCCTGCTGCTGGGGATGCTCTTCTTTGTGTTGTCTCGCATTTCAAACCTACCCAGCCCCTATTAATTTATCTTTATTGTTGAAAGTATTGGAGATGTCCCCCTTTCTCCCCCATTGACCCCCTCCACCCCACACCCGTCTTCGGAGGTGTAGCCCTATCCTAGTACCTGGGAATCAGCGTGCAGCAGGGCTGTGCTGTTAGCCAGCGGGGACACTGGTTGCTGAGGGATTGAACACATAAAAAAGTATTGTTTGTTATTTACTGCTAAATAGTTCATATTCTGACCAGGGATATTTTACACTGCCTCCTCTTAGCGTTTTCATTTACATTGACATCATTTTAACATATTCACTAATAATATATTGAAAAGACTCAGTTCTAGAGAGTATGTTCAGGGGATAATGGGTCCTGATCCCCTCTTCCATTCCCAGCCCCATTCCCAAGCCCCAATTCTGCAGATTTCAGGAAGTGCTTGATGAGTGAGAGTGAGGAGGGAGGGAGGGAAGAAGGAAGGGAAGGAGGGAGGAAGAGAGGGAGGGAGGGGGGGGAGAGGAAGAAGGGGATGGAAGGGAGGAGTGCTGTAGGAGAATAGAGGAGGAAAGGAATAGCTCTAGCTGGGAATAGGTACACAAGAAAGATTTCACAGAAGTGAGGATATTTGGGTTGAATCTTGAAGAATAGCTAAGAATTAGGCAGAAGGGTGGGCTTTCTAGAGAAATCAGGGAGTGGTTTGTGAAGAGGCATGCAGTGTTAAGAAAAGGATTAAAAGTCACATGTGATTGGAGGATGGGGTGGTTGATCAGAGGAGGGGGAAGAGGGGATTGAGGATGGTAGGATTTGGAGCCAGACTGGGGTCAAAACATAAGCTATGTTTTAGAGTTGGGCATCACAGACAGTAGCAAAACAGAAAATTGACACCCTGACAGCTGCAGCAAACCTTCTATTGAGGAAGTTTCATTAAGTTTGGGAATTATTTTTGATGATAAAGAAAAATGGCACTAGATTGGCTAGGAGTGCATGCAGAGCTTCTTTGTGAATCATGTTCAGGAAAATGAACGATTCAAATAATGGAATTATTTTTGGAAATTCAAACTCTCCTGAGTCATTTATGACTTATGAAGTGGATTAATGGTTGAATCTTGGGGCGGGGGGCGGGGTGGAGCTGTATTAAGCAGAAGGCTATTCCAATGCTATGTGTGATCTTTTATCAATTAAAAAACCTGCAGTGGTAGATGCTAAAGACTTAAAATTTCCATTAAAATGAGACTGGTAGAGTTTTGGTGTCTCTGTAAAGGCATTGGAGTCTATGCATGAAAAATATTTCCATCTCTTTTAAAAGGGTATATATATACTCAAATTCTGGTTTTAATGGTAATAGCCTGTTTTGGGTTTTGTTTTTGTTTTTTTACCAATTAAATTAATTGGTTTTAATGGTAATAGCCTGTTTTGGGTTTTGTTTTTTTACCAATTAAATTAATTCCTCAGGCACAACATTTTAAAATATGAGATCATTATATAATTCTCAGTATAGATGCCAGAACTGTTTTCTGCCTAATTTTTAATGCTCTTACGCCCATGAGGTAACATTTCTGTGTTTGAACATGTGTTTCAGAAGCAGTAGGTATTAGTTTTTAGTTATGAGGCTCATTTATCCCCTCACCTATGCCACATCCACCCTACACAAATACAACAGTCACAACACAACACATAGTCACATCTGAACACGTGTGCATATATTGTGCATTAGTCTGATACAGGAGAGAATTTACTTACTGTGCTTGCTAGAAGATACTGGAAAACACCCTCCCACAGAGTTTACAACCTGGAATGAATCAGGCATAACCCTCTTTGAAGCCAAAGCAGGGTCATAGGTTACCTTTAAGACATGTTTTTAGCTACAATTCTAAGATTAACAGTTAGTGTCCTGTGTGGTGTCACAGAGTCAATGCTTAAGGAAGCGTATTGATAATAGACTGTCTAATCAGGTGTCCCTCGAGGCAGAAATAAAAGGGGAGAATGCAATGTCATTCTATGAGGCATTTGGGAGTTATTGTTTATTTATTTTTTTACAAGTAGCATTTTAATTGTCCTCAGTAAATTATCCTCTTAGTGTCAAACTGCCTCAGATTTTATCATCACTATAAATACCTACAATTAGTAAAAAACGAAAGTATGCTACTAGCTAGACATAATCTCAGTATCATTACAATAGCAAAGGAAATGAAAACATGATGTGTATAATATTTTTTAGGAAAATGCATATTTGTAATTGCATTAAATCATTACCTTTCCTGATAGATTTTGTCAAACCAGCATGACTTATTTTAACAGAACAAACTCAGTTTTCCTGGCTTTTACTGTTTATATACTATTATACTCATTGAATAAGAACACTTTTTGAATGCTTTTTTAGAAGCTTATTTTTAGCTGAAATAATAGATTCTGTGCAGCATTGAGAAAAATGTAATGATTTTTTAGGAAAGGTGTTTTCTTTACAGGTGAAACATTACCAAGGTAGCAATAATTTTTTACTCCTGTGACCAGATTTCTTTTAAATTTTACCTAAAGTGTTATTGTGCCTTTAAAGTCACTTTTAAGATGAAATGCTCACATTGTCCATATTTATCTTAAACAGAGTTCAGTTTCTTTCTTTGGTCTATGTTATGATTCTGCTCAATTCACTGATGTCTTCTGAGACTAGTCTGACCAGAGCTGGAGTATTTCTGCTTCTAGCTTCCTGTACCTTCTGATCTCAGATTCCGATTTTTCTCTTGGCTGAAGAAGAGCCAAGACTCAGATGTTCTAGGTGTTTCCCGATATTAGCCGAGTCATCTCTGGAAGATCAGGTTGGTAGGCAGGGGGGAGCAGGTGGGAATTTTGCTGAACCTGTGACTGTTTGTCTAGGAATGCAGACCTGGAGATGACCCTGGAGCGGGCTGTGAGTATGCTCGATGCAGACCACACACCACCCGCCAGGATTTCCGTGGCAGCCACCTTCATACAGCACGAGTGCTTCCAGAAATCCGAAGCACGGAAAAGGGTGAGTAGCATCTTAAGTCTATTGCAAAACTACATTTCTAGTGGGGGGATTATAGTTCAAAAAGGTGTGCAGTGAAAACTGAGTTTCTCTCCTACTCCAAACCCCAGCTTACTCCCCATTTCCCTCTTTTCCTCTTTCTCCCATTCTCTCTACTTCTCCCTCTCTCCTTCACTTTCTCTCTCTCCCTCTCTCTCTCTTTGTCTCTCTTATTAGTTTCTGGGTATCTTTCCAGAGATACTTTATGCATGTAAAAACAATTATTGGATGGGTTGATTTTGTTTGAAACAAAATCACAAGTAGTAGCAGATTATTTACAATACTCTGTACTTTGTTTTCATTTAATATCTTGGAAATCTTTCATATATATTAGCTCTACTTTATTTTTTAAAACTGCTGCATAGATTTCTGTTGTATAAATACACCAGTTTAGTTTGTTCATTTTTAAAATACCTTTACTAAGGTATAGTGTGACAAAGTTTTGACATGTTTTTGGCACTGTGAAAAATCATCACAATCAAGATAGTGAGTATAGCCCTAACCGGTTTGGCTCAGTGGATAGAGCATCGGCCTGCGGACTCAAGGGTCCCGGGTTCGATTCCGGTCAAGGGCATGTACCTTGGTTTCGGGCACATCCCCAGTGGGGAGTGTGCAGGAGGCGGCTGATCGATGTTTCTAACTCTCTATCCCTCTCCCTTCCTCTCTGTAAAAAATCAATAAAATATATTTTTTTTTAAAAAGATAGTGAGTATATCCATTACCTCCAAAGTTTCCTTGTGCCCCTTTGTAATCCATACATCCCACCCCTCCCCAATCCACTTCCAGGCCCTAGGCAGCCAGTGATCTGCTTTCTGTTACTGTATGTACATTATAGCATTTTCTTTATCCATTCATCTATCAGTGGACACTTAGGTTGTTTCCAAAATTTTGTTAAGAAATTATACAGCTATATTTATAAAGGTTATTAATCTCTGATTTTCTTTTCTTGTAATGTCTTTGTCCAGTTTTGGATTGAAGGTGATACTAGCCTAACAGGATAAATTGGAAAGTATTCTCTGCTCTTCAGTTTTCTGAAAGAGTTTCATTGTAGTTATTTCAGACAAGAAATCTCCTGTCATTCTTATTCTGCCTCTGTATATAATGTGTCTCTGCCCCTCCCCGACCCCATCAAGCCAAGTTGCTTGTAATAGTTTCTGTTTATCACTAGTGTTGGGCAATTTGGTCACAACATATCTTGGTGTAGTTTTCTTGTGCTTAGGAGTTCGTTGAGCTTAAATTTGTGGATTTCTACTTTTCATCACATTTGGAATTTGGGTTGGAAATATTTCACCATTATTTTCTCAAATATTTTTTGGCCCTCCTTTGGGAACTCTATTTACATACATATCAGGCTGCTTGAAGTTGTCCCACAGCTCACCCATACTCATTTTTCTTTCTTTTTTCCCCCTGTGTTTCCTTTTGGATAACTTCAATTGCTCTACTTTAAATTCAATAATCTTCTTCAATACTTAATATGCCATTAATCTTAGTCAGTGTATTTTTATATTTCATAAATTATAGTTTTCATCTCCAGAAGTTAAATTTGGGTCTTTTTTATATCTTCTATGTCCCTACCTAACTTGTTCCATCTTTCCCCAAGATTTCTGAACATATGGAAGACTGTTTAAATTGCTGCTTAAATTCCCTTGTCTGCTAATTCTAATATCTGTGTCCATTCTTGGTGGGTTTCAGTTGATTTATTTTTCTCCTCATTATGGGTCATATATCTCTCCTTCTTTGCATGCCTGGAAATTTCTTATTGAATGCCAGGTATTATGAATTTTATCTTGCTGGATGCAGGATATTTTTATTTTTCTGTAAAGACTCTCGAGCTTTGTTTTAGACTGCAATTAAGTTACTTGAAAACAGTTTGATCCTTTCAAACCCTGCTTTGGAAATTTGTTTGGTGGGACCAGAGCAGCATTTACTCTAGAACTAACTATCTCTTTATGGCAAGATACTTCTGAGAACTCTACCTAATGCACCATGAATTAGGAGGTTTTCTGGCTAAGTGAGAATAGGAGGGTTTGTGGTCCATGTGAGCAAGAGGAGCTGTTCCCTTAATCCTTTTAGGTGGTTATCTCCCTGGCCTCAGACACATACATTTATTAATACTCTGTTGAATACTAGAGTGTCTTTCTCTGCAGCTCTTCTCTCTGGTACTTTTCCCTGCAAACTACTGGCCTCTTTGTTTTTCTTAGACTCTGCACTGTCTCCTCAACTCTGCTTGTGGAATTCCACTTATTTCCCTCGATGCACTTCCATCGCCTGGAACTCTCTCAAGGCAATGATCCAAGACAGCAGTGAGGCTCACCTTGCTTGTTTTCCACATATTGAGTCATTTTCCATCATTGCTCCCCACCCCCCCATGTCCAGTTATTGAAACCATTGTATGCTTTGTCTGGTTTTTTTTTTGTTTGTTTCAGGCCATAGATAAATTCAGTCCTTTTTACTATTGAGTCATTTTTTATTTTGATAAATAACTCCTTAATAACTCCTCGCCCAAATTATACAAATTTACACTCCCACCAATATCGTGAATTATTACTACCACAGGATGTTATTTTTTTGTTTGCTTTTTTTGTTCATCTGACAAGCCAAAAAAAGCATCTCTTTGTAGTAGAAATTTTACTATTTTTTTGAAATCAAGACTAATAGTTGATTAGTTAATCAAACAGAGTTACCGAGAAAATGTTTTTTAAAATTATACACATATACACTTACAGAGTTTGTTATCATCTTTCTTACATAAATGGTGCTCTTTATGTATTATTTGCCATTTTTAGTTTCTTTAAAGTGAAATAAGAACTTAATGGCACTAATTCCTATGAGTTCAAATCCTTCTAGAATTGTATATGTTATCTACTCTTTTAAGTTAATGTTATCTACAAATAATTACAGAGATTTTTAGAGTTCTTCACCTTTATGTAACCTTTCCAAAGCACTCAGATTAATTTTCAGAGAGACAGGACTCTTTTCATACTTATATTTCATTCATTTTCAGAATCCTATATAATAAAAGGGAAGCATGTAAATTGACCATCCCTCCACTATGCTCACTAGCCAATCAGGAGTGAGTATGCAAATTAACTCAGCAAAGATGGTGGGTTAATTTGCATATACAGGCACTGGGTGGAGAGCAGAGTGGGAGATCAGAGGCTTGTGGGGAGAGCAGAATGGGAGAGGTGGCAGAGAGTGGAGCGGCTTGGGGAACTTGGCTCCCCAAGGCACCAGACGGAGAGCAGAGAGGGAGAGCTGGTGGCTTGGAGGACTTGGCAGAGTGGGAGGCCGTGGGACAGAGACAGAGCAGG